TGTATTATCAGTATATTGATTGAATTATATTCATTTGTTTACCTACAAATTTTTTTTGTAACTGTCACGTTGCTAAGGCTGTTTCAACAACGCCAAATCTATCAATTGATCTATGTCAAGGAATACTTTGTCACTTGAATTTCAAAATTGGCAGTGCCAGGTTATTGGAAATCATTTCCCCAAATAGCAACTGAAAATATTTGTATTCTAAAATTCATTTGGAATATTTTTCTACCATTGTAAATTTTCACGACCGGAGACAACTGTCGAAGCTATTTTTTGGGTTCGTTGACGGCGATTAGGCAACCGATGAAGTGGTTTAGTCTCACAGCACATACTACATTATTGGTTTTTGTGTCTCCAGTTTTATCGGTGGAAGACATGGTTTCGTTCCTATTGTTTGAAATAAGTAAACTGTTTGATTTAGTGCAGGTAACCTAAATTTATGTTAATTTCCTCTTCTTTCCAGTTGTTATTATTTTCGGGTCTCTAAATTTCTTTCATTTTACCATAGCTGCTAATAGCTGGGTGCTTCTCTTACTGCATATTCTGCTCCTGTTGATCAGTTTATATGTCGTAACCGATAATTCCTCTTGCCTTTAGAGAGCCGAGTAATAACACTCATCTTCGTGGTTCCAATGTAGAGCAATTCATAGCTATATGAAATCCAACGTTGTCAAAATCCCTTTGGGGTCCTTAGCTCTCTTTCTCTGATAGTTTTTGTTGGCCTGAATTCGATTGAATGGTATGATCCTTCAGAATTGTCTCAATCCAATCCGTTAAATACTTCACATAATGCAGGAAAGCTTTAGCATTCTCTTTCTTGGCTCATATCGCCTGCTCGAATTTGGCTTCGCTATACCTATTCCCTGTGAATGCATTTTCCAGATGATTGAGTTTCTCAGATCCACAGATTTGTCTAGCTGACTCAACCAAAGTTTATAATTATACCTGTGCCTGGGGATTGGATTTTCTATCCAGACAACTGTCTGTCGACTTGGTTTCGTATTCACTCTATTGGCGATTGTTTCTTGTGTTTCTCGTTCCATTATGAAATGGATTTTAAGGTTATGGTAGCGCAGACATTGAAGAAACTGGTTTAGTTACTCTTCACCGTGCCGCCATATAACGAAAGGGACAAAACTAGAGACCCAAACTATAGCTTTGACATATATTGTGAAGAATGTATCTGTTACTTTTTGAAGCAATGTCATTGGTTTGAATGATAATTGATTATTCTTTTGACGAGTAATGTTATTACTTTTGATCGAGTGCTGCAACAAGTGTTTTTTGTATAATTATGAAACTTTACGAATTAAATTAGAGTTTTTGGGAATCAATGTACTTTAAAATTAAATTAAATGTTCAAAATGACCACCATCAACTTCTTGACAATAACCGAGGCAATTTTGGAATTCCCGTACATTTTGTATGACTTTGGGGGTTATTTTGTTAATTTCTTCCTTTATCCTAAGTTTTAAATCAGCAATATTGTTTGGTCTGTTAAAATATACTTTAAATTTTATATAACCTCATAAGAAGTAATCGAGAGGAGTCAAATTGGGGGATCTAACCGGCCATTCGATCGTTCCACGTCTTCCAATCCACCTATTGGGAAAAACCTCGTTTAAATAATTTCTAACTGTACGTGCAAAATGCGGTGGAGCTCCGTCTTATTGGTAGTAAATAGTTCGATCTATCTCACTTGGATGATTGACATCAGGAAAATGTATTTGTAATGTAGGCACTAAAAAGTTAATCAAAAAATCTAGATAAACCTCACCATTAACAGTGCCCTCAGAAAAATAAGGGCAAACAATTTCATTGTTAATGATACCAGCCCAAACGTTAACTTTTTTAGGATATTGAGTGTGAGTCGCACAGATCCAGTTCTGTTTGTTAACTGTTCCGTTTAAATGAAACGTCGCTTCATTGGAAAACACTATTTTGTTTATGAACTGTAAATCGGCATTCATTCTGTCCATCATCAATTCGCATAACTCTTGCCTTCTATCAGGATCATCTTCATTCAACTCCTGAACCAACTGAACTCTGTGAGGGTGGTATTTTTCTTTATGCAAAACTCTCAAAATAGATGATTTACTTACATCATTGTTGACGGCAAGTTCTCGAGTTGTCTCATGCGGATTTTCCCCAATCTCTACAAGTACCTCTAAGTTTTTTTCATCAGTAAATTGAACATTTCTACCAGGTTTTTAAAAATTTTTTACATGTCCAGTTTCACGAAACTATTCAATTTTGCTAACTGTAGACTGCGACACGTGTTGACCAGGGTATTTATTATTAAAAATTTCACAAACCTCCTTTTGAGTTCATGTTTTATCACCACAACCATAATCATAATATATTTTGAGTCTCCGACAAATGAGCCATAATTGAATTTGATACGCCCACAAATATTATACTGGCATCTTTTAGTAACTTCAAAAACCTAAATGACAGCAGCATACTAGATTCATATCAATTGTTTATTTGGCTTTTTGTATAATATTTTAGTATCTTCAAAGATTTTTTCCAGGATTCAAGGTTAGTGAGGAGCATGTTACAGGAATGGTCTGTTTAGCTTTTTGTCTAATATTTTAGTATCTTCAAAGATTTTTTCCAGGGTTCAAGGTTAGTGAGGAGCATGTTACAGGAATGGTCTGTTTAATAGATCAGCTTATTGTCAAGAAGTGAATAATGGTGGTCATTTTGAACATTTCATTCAATTGTGAAAATTAATTGTCTCAGTTATGATTGCACCAAACTTAAAAAACTTTATTTTGCTGAACAGAGAACTAAAATCCTTTTCTAACAAGGTGCCACACGACCCCTTTTGGAGATGGAGGTGGAGGAGGGGTGCTGGAGGGGGATAATATTTTGTAACTGTAAATTGCCAAAGTAAGAATAAAAATCGACCTGTTTCAGGTTTTTTCCACATAGTACATAATAACGCTAAAAATGAATTCATTCCATACATATGGACCGCACTGTATAAATATCCACACATATGACCGAATAGAATTGAATTCTTTCCGTCTTTTGAATCTTTTTGCTGATGCGTTGATTAATAATCAGTTTACTACATGTTCAATTTTTTTCATGATACTCAATTTCTTTCATGATGTTCAATTTTTCATTTAGTTTATACATAAACTCTGGTAAAATTATTAGTCATCGAGTAGGTAGGTCATGTGATTCAAATTGTTATATAAAGCACTAAATAGGTAGAATGTATTCAATATGAAAACGCCTGAGGAAGCTATTGTATAGCGAAACACGTGTTGCTGTTTTGTAAACTGTTCTTTTGAACTGTTATATCCCCTGGGATACTCATTCAATTTAATCGAAATCAACGCCATTTGAAGCAGTACACTTTTGCCAACGTAACACAAGTCGATTAATCCTGTCAGCAAGAAAATTCGAGATTCGATGAAGTCGAAGAACGCCGTTTCTGTATGGTCCTGATTGGCGAAGTTTTTACCGGTGAGAAAGTTATCGAAGTGCTTGAAAAGATGGCAGTTGGTTGGCGAGAGGTCTGGGGCGTATGTTGGGTGAAGCAGAATTTCGACACTCAATTCGTTTAATTGCTGGAAGGTAATTTGTATAACGTTCGGATGGGCGTTGTCATGGAGAACTCTTCTGTTGACCAGTGCCTGCTGGTATTGGCGCAATATTTGGTACATTTCGTCGATTTCCTAACAATATAACTCTGCTGTGATGAATTAGACCAGCTGCTGACCACCATATAGTGACCATGGTCTTTTTTGGTTGGTTTTCGTTTTTGGGAAGTGCATGGTGTTTCATTATACTTCGGAGACCAGTTGTTCGCTTTCGATTTCGTAGTGTGTTTCCTTTTCTTATCCGCTAAATGTGGTCCTATGAGATTTATTTCAACAAATGGCCTGAACATGCCCGTAACAACGTTCCATTTCAAGTCATTTGCTGCTACCACTGAAAACAATCGAGACGTGAACCAGTTGTACAGAGTTTGAAAAAATAAGTCATTTATGATGACAATGATCGAAGTCTCTCAGTTAGTTAAGCAATGGCATTCGTGTAGATGGAAAGCTGAATGGAACAATTATTGTAAAACCCCCCGAGGTGGGTTAAAGAGCACGAAACAAAGCACAAGTACTACATTGAAATCCTTAAGGCACTCTAAGAGCGGTGCCTTTACGAAAATAGTGATTCACGTTGAATTTGAAACGCTCTTAGGAAGTTTATTCCACATAAACGCAGTCCTCCAAATAGAAGAGTCCTTGAACAGTGAAGTTCGAGGTGTACTGAGTTGAACCCCAACCACAGTCCATTACGTATTTCTGATATGCACCCTTCTTGGTGGAATCAAATGTGCCAAGTCACTCGAATACTTCCCGTGAAAGTATCTATAGAAGAGAGACAAATCTCCAACCTTTCTTCGATGTCCCAGATTGTGCCAAGACATATTGGTGTCCATTTTAACCCTCAACAATGAAAGAATCTATAGAAGAGAAACAAATCTCCAACCTTTCTTGTATGTTCCAGACTATCAAGGTTGCAAGTGATGTTTTCGTCTTCAATCAAGCTGATGGAAACCACCAGCTATAGGGTATGCTTAGAGTCATTTGGTGTATCATGTTTACAACGGTTTCATCAAGCAGATTCATTTTAGAGTTCATGGGTGCAATCTCTGAATGTCCTACAAAAAGGATTGATTGGATTCATACATGCTTTGTATCTTAGATGTATTGTACATGTCCTTTCTAGTAATGGCTTCAAGACGCACAAATATCTGTTGAAACAGAGGTAAAGTAAGCCATCAGTTTCAGCAATCTCATCCTATAGATGGTGTTTTCTCCTAAATGAACAGTCCGAAAGAAATAATGTTTATTTACAGTTTTTCTACATCGTCGTCGTTATCATACAAAAGACCACATATGCGATGCGTAAAGACGCATGAAGAAGGACATACCTGCAAAAGATCATTTTCAGTGTAACTGCCATGAAATATTAAAGATTCATTCATCATATAACGAATGTTGTATTGTAAACTGTGACCAGAAGTTAGCGAAGACGTCAAGAGAGTACCACCTTACCAATCAGGGTCTGCTTCCATGAACGAATACATTATTTATTATTTCCTTTCTGCAAATTAGGGAGGAACCATGAAGTATCAGTTAGTCCTATTAGAAGTATGTCTCAAGAATATCTGAACCAAGTAAGATTTATGTCCCACTCCACAGTCGACTATCTGAGAAAGGTACCAACTACTATTCCCCTACTAGAATCTACGATGCCGTAAATTACTTCTCAACAACGTCAAGTCAGGTGAATTTTAGAACAGCTCAATATCAACAAGGCGTCTGGTCCCGATGAAGTGCCCATCATCAAACCTAAAAAGTGCGCAAATGAACTCGTACCAGTACTTTGCAGGCTTTTCATCTTGTCTTATAAGGAAGGGGTTTTCCCCTTCAGCCTTTTTCCAGAAAAGACAAGAAAAATCTTTCAAATAACCAGTCGCTTTGATATCAGTGATATCAAAAGTCATGGAGAAGGCCGTATACCACCATATTCTCATATATTTGGAAGACTTCAACATCTCGAGCGATCATTGATATGGCTTTTGGAAACAGAGATCAACAGGCCACCTTCTGTCGTATATCATCCATATTAGAAATAACGCAATCGGGAATCATAGAGAGTTGAGAGCTGTTGGGCATGATATTTTTGAGGCCTTCAGCCGTGTGTAAAATGAGAATTTGCTGGTCAAACTTTGATGATATAGCTTGTCGGATCATTTTTGTGGATGGCAGTCTAGCTTACTAAAAAACGTTTCCTGCAAGTGGCCGTCGATGGATATCTCTCGAATACTAATACCATCAACGTTGGTGTTCCTCCATATTGCCTCCAACGCTCTTTTTATTGTACATCAACGAAATATTGGAAAAAAACAACAATCTAATATATTGTTTTTCTGGCGACAGCACACTTGTTTCGTCATTCCCCTTGGATTCCAGGATATCTGCTGCGTATGCACATTTTCACCGGCAGCAGGAGGTTGCATATCTCAATGAGGATCTAGAGGTGATTTCAAATTGCCAAATGCCACGAAAATACAGGCATCGGTTTTCTCCTAAAAGATAAATGTCTCCGTACCGGATATAATAACTTCAGGTCAAACGACTCCGCTTCGATTAATTTGCTGCGGGCTTTAATATAACCAAAGTATGTATTGGTACAATCATGTCACTGGAATTGAAAAGGCTGCTTCTCAAAAGCTTGAAACATTGTTCCGAACCAGAAAATGGTACACACCTCAGCAACTCTTTATGCTTTATAATGCTGAGATCAGACGTACTTTGGAGTATTGTTCTCATATATGCATAATCTGAAGCTACTGGATTTCATCCAGAAAAGAGTCATCCGCCTGATTGGAGACACGAACCTCAGTTGCAACCTTAGCCTAGAACATCGAAGAAAGGAGATTTGTCTCTCTTATATAGATACTTTCACGGGAGGTGTTCAAGTGACTTGGTACATTTAATTACACCAAGAGCGGTACATATCAGAAATACGAAACGGGCTGTGGTTGCTCATTGTTTCGAAGTTCAACTCAGTACACCACGAAGTTCACTGTTCAAAAACTCTTTCATCTGGATGACAGCGTTTATGTGGAATAAACTTCCTGAGAATGTTTTTCCAAACTGATTTGATCTTCAGCGATTCAGATCCAACGAAAATCTCTACTTTCGCACAGGAACCGCTCTTGAAGCGCCCGAAGGTTTTCCTGCAGTGTTTGTGTTTTGTCTTCGAGAAAAAACGCAAACTTAAAAAACGACCAACATTTTGCTATTGGAGACTGAGAAGGAAAATATAGACTTTGAGTAGTACTAACAGAGAAGTTCATGTTAAAAAAATTTATTTTTGAAGAAGTGTAACAAAAGTTGAACCATTGATATCGAATAATACTGTGAAATATTTGCGTATGAATATAATTGTTCAATATGCACTGTTCTATATCGTGCTTAAATCACAATACAATTGCGACTTACCTTTTACAGTAACCTTGTGCTCGCCTGTTCCTGGATGTGTGAAGAGGTCTACTTGGATCGAAACTTCTCCCACGCTTCCTTCTGGTCCATCCACGTTATCTGGAAATATTTGTATGTTTATAGTCGGTAATTTATTGTGTTAATGATATACGATTGAGTTTATAATAACTGAAGCATTATAGAGCTGGACGGACTGCATAAAAATTTGAGCCATTGTATTTCGTCTTCGAATTATTATTGAAGTTTCGTTTGAAGACTCAAGTGAATTTTATGTAGGAACGCTCAGCTCTATGTTGGTGTTAAAAAAAACATGCTATCTAGAATTTCAAGAACTGATAATCTAATGGTGATTTTTTCGATAGTAGGTGAAAATGGTGGTACGAAATTGATAGTACATTCATTTCTGAAAATTTCGCATTCTCGTGTATGTGAGTGATTAATTCGAATCATACGTGATATTTTACAGTTGAGAAAGTACTATTAATGTATAGTATAGTGTATAGTAGATTCATATTACGACTCGAAGAACAATTTGAATTCATGGGAGCACCCTTTGAGATACAGATTCTGTGATCAAAAATACTTTTTAAGTGCTGGTTCAAAATAATCACGACTACGTAGTGCTCATATATATCAAACAGGACTTCGAACAAGTCTGGTTTGAAGGTCTTCTTCATATATTGCTTAGTTTTGACAAGCTTCGAGGTCTGGTTCGTAGAATGAGTTCTCGCAGAAAGGTGGAATATGAAATGTACGAATCTCTGTTCAATAAATTGATGGATGTAGCCATTACTACGTGGTAGGAAATCATAATGAAGAAAAGAGAAATGAAACTTTCTGTTTTGTCCTATACGGACATTTTCAAACTTATACAATAAACTCTCTGTTCAGTAATAAGGAGATTTCGTCTGTGTCAGTGTTGTTTCCCACTGTTTACGGCTCTTTCTCTTCGTCTTTCTTCGAGTTAATCTTTGTATCTAGACTTGGAGATAGGAGTACTGATGACCACATTCACGAGAATAAATGAAAGGAAGTTCGAACAGTCGCGTGTCAAAAATTTGGATATACCGAAAAATAACTTTCGATTGCAAGATGCATGACAGGATAGCTCATCTGTCATCAACAGGCTTAGATTTAAGGCTGCCATACCAAATGTCCGAGCCTATCATCATGTATGCTTCTGACGTCATCCTACATTTAATACCAGAAGAGATTATTCACGGTGAGTGTGGCAGAAGAATCTACCATTGCATCAAACACCTCTGAATTTTTACTCATCGACTGTCTCAAGTCTCAAGTCTTTGGATGTTGTTCGTCTGAAGACAGAGTATATATTTTATGAAGAAAAATCTTGTTGAATTTTAATATAATCCAAAACTATTCATGCGACTCTTCTCTCAACTTTGTAAATATATTCAGCGACTCGATTGAAAATGTCAACTTCAGTTTTTCCATTTCGAATTCTGGACAAATTTGCCTTGGTATTTTGTACAGAACCAGTTGTTTTAAAATTTGACACATAAAGTTGCGCGTGAATTTCACTTACATTTTTGTACAAATCTATTGCCATGAACACCATAGATTTTCACTTGCATACGGAAAAGTTGTTTAAATCAGTCGTAATTGACAAAAATTCGTTGGAAATAAAATTTACCATAAAAATAACTATACAAGTTTATTGAATTTTCAATGAAAAATACACTTTTGATTCAACGAAATTTAATTAAACAGATAAAATCTTGGTGGTAGAGTCATGGTCGAATGGAATTTGCAGCAACAACGTTTCGTTTGCTACTGCGGCAGAATCATCAGTGATGTGCGTTGACTGCTAGGACGAAGGTTATATCTTGAAGTCTCAGCAACGATTGACTGATGAGCTTCATGTTTACTCATATTTATAATTTTGGCGGATGGTGGGGGTAATGGAGGGAGTAGTGGCGCGATGTCCATGCGAATGCTCACTTCTATTTGGTCTGCACGTTTGCTGGGCGGTTCTGACTGGTTCGCACTATTACTGATTGGTCAACGTTGTTGACAGTTATGTTGCTAGTGAGATGCCAATCGAAATTGTATTCTAGTACATATCTAGCTCTCTTGAGTACTGGATAACACGTTTTGTTGACTCGTAAACTTTTTCCTGAATTCAAGGGCCTCTTTATAAAGTCATGGGCGTAAATGCGTTGAATCAAACAGGACAATAGTTTCTGTCTGTTTCTGTTAGAACTTGTTCTACAATTGAGGATTTCTCCGGATGCATGAGGTGGCAGTTAGGGTTCAGCTTTTGTATCCTTCTGCTGATGATGCGTTCAGTAGTTCTGATGTTACAGGGAATTATCTGAACCCCGGTAGATGTCGAAGGCATTTTTTGTCCTTGGCCGATCTTTTCTCAGTTTTCCTATTCCATTGATAACTGAGTGCGAGGTTGAACGGAGGAAAAAACCAATTATTCAGGTTTTTTGATGAAAATCCTTGTATTATAGAAGTGAATCACAATACTTCAAACATTCATATTTGGGCTGGCACTCTAATAGGGTGACTACTTCGCTCCTCGAATAGTATTTCAAGTCTTGAGCTGAATTTCAATATTGAGAGCCAGTGGTTATAGTTCTTCAATCACTACAAACAGTGATATTTTCAGATAACACCAACATTCTAGCAAATGCGCCACTGGAATCAATGAAGTCGCCACGGAGCGCCAATTGATTTTCATTGTTGTTTTTATCGTTGTTTTACTAGTGAATGTTTCAGAAAATAGTTTCACTATAATTGTATTCGCCTTTTTGATCATAAAACCCAAGAGGGGTGAAAAAAGCATATTGCGCTCAATTTCAACAAGCTAACATCAGCCAAATAAAATAATTTTCAATCATGTGATGACTCACGAACAAAGCGGGGTTAATATCCAATCAGGAACATAGCCTAATTAGGCACTTTAGGTATTCATTATCTATAATGTTTGGACTTGACAGAAGTATTCGATCACAATTCTACGTAATTCTTTGAATCGCAATTCTGATTCGACGCCTGATTCAATTTCATTTCAGCTCGAAGCCAATTTATCTTGCCGATTGAGCTTTGATTAGAGTCATCCGACAGAAAAATTCTAATGGTCCTTTCACTTTTATCTTGCTCAAAGTGGGAAATGGATCAGTGAAAGGCGAAATGATTTAATTTTGATTCACAAATGGAGTTACAGAACAGTGGATACAGGGGACCTGAATTTTCAACATATGAAATTAGTATTACTTCACTGCCATGGGTTATCAATATTGTCATTTGGAATGTGACGACGACGTATTCGTATTCGGAAAGTAACTTGATTTGAAAACGTTTCATTGTTTTTTCTCATTTTATCACTCATCTTGATTATTTTTCATTTTATTTTTATTGTTTATTTGTATCTGTAGAGTAGAGAAAGTGAGTTTAGGCCCACAGCACTTAGGCCACATGTGACCCATTGTACATCCCCCAAAGGAGTTGTCCTCCTAAGTCATCGTCCATCCTGTCCTTTGCAGGAATGTGGACAGGTCTCTGGGAGACATCTCCTTCATTTCGACAGGTGTAGGCCAAGACTCTCTTAGAGAGCCCGTACACGAGCCACATTTTGCGGTTGGATCGACCACACAATTGCAATTGCGTTCCAGCGAACTCAAGCCGTCCATAAGAAATACTGTACTATACGTACACGGTCGTTCACAAAAGTCAAAACGGGCGTCTGCAGTCAACTTGCTGCTGATCTCCGCCGAGATGTCATCGCGGCATCCGCCGTACACTAACCAGAAACTTGCAGTCGTACCCAACCGCATATACTGTCGTGTACTTTTTCTCATATTGGTCTCACATCGTCCAATTTTTGATTTCAAAATTCTAATTGATTCATCGAAAGTGCCTCAAACACCCGGTATACGTTGCTATTGAGAAAATCGTCAGTAATATATAGGTTACGACCGAGTTCAGTGCTTTCTCTGCTCGTCACGCTTTTTTTGACGACGACGTATTCGTATTCGGAAAGTAACTTGATTTGAAAACGTTCCATTGTTTTTTCTCATTTTATCACTCATCTTGATTATTTTTCATTTTATTTTTATTGTTTATTTGTAATTGAAATTTCACTTCTGTATCTGTAGAGTAGAGAGTGAGTGTAGGCCACATGTGACCCATTGTACATCCCTCAAAGGAGTTGTCCTTCTAGGTCACCGTCCATCCTGTTCTGTCCAGGAAGGTGGACAGGTCTCTGGGATACATCTCCTTTATATGGGCAGGTGTAGGCCAAGACTCACCGAACACACACTCTCTTATTGACGATAAATCCAGACACATCCTGCAAAGAGGTGTGTCCACTAGCCCCATATTGTGGAGGTGTTTCCTTAGTTGACAGTGGACAGTCACATATACTACTGCTGAGCGTAGATTTTTCCTGGTCATCGCCAGACATTTCTTAGGCGCCAGCTTTCCAGGGTGGCCCAGGGTGATCCTGTCAAAATTGCATACTTTATTTTCAGTCCATCTCTTTAGGGATTGAGCATGGGTGTGACGTTTGGTTACTTCCACAATTGTCCAAGTCATCAAGCCGTAGGTGCCACTGGGTCCTAAAATTCTTAGTCCAGCCGCTTTCTTGGCTGAAGAGTCAGCAATGCGATTACAGTGCAGATTGTTATGTTCTTGCCAGAAATTCCTCATCTGGTTATTTATTCTGTGATGGTTGAGATACCAGCCAGTTCTGTTTGGACCACGCAGGTAATTTTTCCAATTCCCTACTTAGGCTTAGTGATCTGGAGTACACTCCACATCCTGAGCCTTCTTTGGTTTTTGAACCGTCTGTATAAATGCGTATTGCATTTGTAGCATCTGACTCAGTGTTCTGTTCCATTTGTATTTTGTAGGGTTTATCAAACACAAACCTGGGTTCTGCCTGCAGCAGAGGTTGCGCAGTGAGCGCTTCTCAGCATAGGCTCAGTCTCAATTGACACATTCCTACTTCGAGGTTTACACCAGCCGTGCGCAATTTTTACATGGCCATTAACGCAACCTCCTTAACGTACAGGTCCAGAGGGCTCAGACCAGTAATTAATTCCATTGCCGCGGTTGGTGTTCGTCTCATAACTCCTGTGAGCTTTATGCAAGCCAGTCGCTGTATTTGATATAATTTTTGGATGGCCGTTGCCTGTAGAACTTTCGGTCCCCATGCAATGGCTCCGTACGTTATCATAGGTCTTATTATTGCAGTGTAGATCCAGGTGACCACCCGGGGTGAAAGACCCCATGCGCGTCCCACTGTCCTCTGACATTATTCAAGAGCCACATATGCTCTCTATGCTCTATTCTATATGTGAGAGGTCCATGTTAGCTTTCTGTCGAGGATAGTACAAAGGTATTTCTCTTCAGAGAAATTTAGTATGTTTTTGAAGTGAGGAGGTTTTAAGCCCGATAAACTTTTTTCTGGTGAAAAGAACCATCTGAGTCTTCTTGGGATTGAACGACACTTAGTGTTCCTTACACCATGTTTCTATTATTTTGAGCCCATCCTGCGCTCTATCGCACAGTGTGTTCACAATTTTGCCGGTCTGCAAGATAACTATGTCATCTGCATATGCAATTGTGTAGAATACATTATTGTTGAAGTGATTAATCAGGGTATCCATAAAATTTCACTTTGTAGGACAGAACAATCTTTAAATGATCTAATAACATCATTCTGTTGAAAATATATTCGTCAAAATCTGTTATTTTGTTAATAACGTGTCTCTCTTCCACAGCAACAACTCTCGAGAGTCGTAACTTGTGTGATCTGAGGCTTAATAATATTTTTCATTAACGTTCGATTCCTAGTACGGATTCCTAGCATTGGATTTTGAAATTTCAAAATTTTATTCAGAATCTGAAAATGAACCGTTCGAAAAAGTTTAAATTCCAGAAATTCTAACTATACTCTCAAAACTGATATATCATCAGTCATTAAGTAATTTGTGTTCCATTCGAATATCCCTTAAATAACATGATTATGCGTCAAGATTACATATCTTCATATACAGAAACCACAAAAGCGACTGAACAATCATTATTTTCGTTTTATTTCATTATTCATCCAAACAAAAAACTCAATTTGAGTATATATAGCCTAGTAATTGTTATTTATCCACAAATATATCATGTTCGCACATGTCAAAAGGCCTCAAACACCCGGTATACGTTGCTATTGAGAAAATCGTCAGTAATATATAGGTTACGACCGAGTTCAGTGCTTTCTCTGCTCGTCACGCTTTTATTTTCATCTTTTTCACAAAAACCTCCCGCTTTTACAAAATCACCACGGTGCAATATCTCGTCAACAAATACAGTCCACTTTTCAGTAAATTGTAAAATCGACATCTAAGGAAAACTTGCCATAGCAGACGTGAAACAAGTTAAATACTGTGGTATTTGATGAATAATACAACTGAAACCTCTGGCGTTGAAAATTGATAATTTTTCTTTATCTTTTGAAGACGCTCACTTGATTGGTGAACCGTTGATGTATTGCAGTTCTATTGATTGGGAAAATTGCTTGTTTTTAAATTGTGATACTTACTCATGACTTTCTGTTTCAGAAACTATCACATAGAAGATTTCCATCATAACATACTCATATAATGCATACTGGCAAAAAACAGAAATATTGAATCCTAGACGTGCCTTAGTAGCAGTTCGATTACCAAGTACGTCCATGCTAAAGAACTTGTATTGTTACCCGAACTTTGCCGAGGGTATCTAAGAAATACTGAGGTAAACTATCGTCAAAACTTGAATAAGTAAGGAAACCCATAATTGGTAATTGATTGCGTTTCCAATAGGTGAAAGAACTGATCTTGTTCAACCAGGAAGTTGTCAGGTGTGAAGTACCTGTAGAAATTCATTCAAGACCAAGGTCTCAACTTCCAGTGGGGTTCTAGAAATAGTTATGATACTGTTGGGCATTTGGAAAACTTGAACGAAAGCTTTCCGCTCTGTCTGATCAAAGTGACTATGGCCAATGTTCTCTTGTTTGTTGACAACAAAGTTGACGAAAAATCCTTCTCGATAATGTTTACAATTTGAAGGAAAATGTGGGTATCTTTCAATTCCAGGTTATAACTCACAAACAATAGGATTGCAGAGATTGTATAGGCACCAAGATGGTACCATGGCACCAAGATGAACTACTTCTTTCCGATTCGAAACAAGTAATGTTTTTTTTAGACAATAGAAAGAAGAAGGTCACTAAAACATTTCTGGAGCAGTGAAACGATACATTAGGAAGTATCAAATTTGCATTTACGTGCCACGTTAGACTTTAGTCGCAATGAATGATTTGCTTATGAGAGTGATAATCAAAATAGTATCTCATATTGAAGGATTTGTCCTAATACTGGTTTCATTTAATGATCGTTGCAGTAATTGAATACTATATCATTTAAAATAAAATTCTCGGAGATGGAGATGGCAAAAATTGAATAACTTACACATTCTTCACTATGATTCATGACTTGAACAGTTTGGACTACTTTTTATTTCTGTTTCGTAATCCTAAAAATAACGGCAAAGCTGCTTGGGAGCAAATTAGCGAACCGATTCAATCGATCTATCAAAAAACTAATCAAAGAAATCTATTGCTAGTAGCTACCAATTTCAAACTAAATGCTATATTATAAAGAGCAGATGTTGCAGTCGTAGGTTAACCATCGGATTTCGATATTCTCGTATTGACACGAATAATAATAATAAAAATGATAGTGAAAATTCAACAGAATACATTTAATTCGGAAACTTCGAAACAAGGATCATAAAAAGTGAGATTTACTGGACTTTTTAGTCATATATTATATACGAGAATATCTAAACTGATTGGAAAACGTAATCGATAAAATTCTGGCGCAATGCTTCAAACTAGCAGAAGTCGATTGTCATAAAATGTCTACCTTGTTGGATATCACTTTCCCTTCTCTTTTTTGCCTTCAAAGGCTCCTCTAGCGCTTCTAGTCCTGTTTCTGTGTCTGTTTCGTCTCTTATCGATATTTGTCTTTGCAGCATCGTTTGCTTATTATTTAGCGGCACTTGAGTAGGAACAGCAATTGTTTTAATTCGAAACGACTGTAGAAGAGTTTCTAAAGAGTTTTCTTTAAAGTATGAACTGACAAAAACTACAATTACCATTCGTTTTCATTGTATCGAACAGATTGAAAGCGCTCTGATTTTGTCTCACACATAAAGAAATAAACTTTTGGTGGTGGTGAATGATATTAATCTCTTGGCTACTTTCATCATACCTATAAGTAGATGGACAAAGATCGTTTTATGGTGGCATGCGCAGTGGCTACCTGGTATTCAACGTGTAAGGAAAAGTGCATTCAACGTGTTAGAAAGAGCGCATCGGTCAGGAGAGCACCGACTTAGATGGAGCTGATCCGTTTCAAAGATAAGGAAGATGTAACGGGCGTCTCAAAAACTCAATATACAAGGTGAATAACAAACGGATCAGTTCCATCCAAGTCGGCGCTCTCCTGACCGATGCGCTCTTTCTTACACGTTGAATGTCTAGATGCGCTCTTTCTTATCTATCAAATGCCAGATAGTTACTGCGCACGCTGCCCATGTGCTCCTATATTTTCAAAAATGATCTACATTATCGTTTTGCACGTTTCCCAGACTGGGTTATTAGATTCAGATTCTTTATTAACCATTTGTAGCCAAGCTGTGCTTGGATATGGCAAGTCATATTACACTTAGCACAAATTTACAAATTTGGTAATTCGGATAGGGACTTTCCCAAATTTTTTGAACAATGAACTGTACAGATGCCACAGTATGTGAATACTTTGATTATTAGCTCGTTATTCTCGTTCTGATTTTTTGATGAATTGTGTCACAATTGACCTCCAAAAAGCTACGAAACTGAGCGACTGCCTATGCCCATTTGAGACAAAAGCCACTCCTCTCTAGACATGTGAGTATTCACAACTACCCCGTCAATGGCAGTGTTAAAGGATCCAAAGCGCAAACGGAAACTAAGTCACTAGACTTCTGGTATTCACTGTAATAAATGACAGCAAACCGAGACCGTTAATCACATTTTTAGATACTTCTGAGCACCAAGCAACACTGCATTGCTAGAACATGAATGTTAATACCTGCACAGATGACAGTTACGAGGCAACGAAGTAGCATCACATAAAATTTTGATTACGACGAAAAACCTTATCCTTTTTTTGATAGAGCATCGAATTGTGGGTAATCTACCGGTCGCTGATCTGTTTTGATCCTATTGGAAAAGTGTTTGTGAGCAACCAAAACACTGCAGTCCTTACGAACTTCGACAGCCTGAACACAATAAATTGCGGTTAAAGTTTGAAGAGTTCTTGCCCTTGTCTTGGCAACAACGCCAATTGAACAGAATGTTCAACTGTATGGGGAGCATATATGTCTGAATATAACTCATATATACTGGTAGGGACAGAGAAGGAGGAAGCTGGCTGTAAGTCATAACAGATATACTTCGCAGGAGTATGTGATTGATTCAGTTCGATTTCCACAAGGCATTTAAAGCTCCTTTCCATTAGGTCACCGCACATTTGGATATATGAACCATATATATATTTCAAGAGGACTGCTCCCCATAATATTTGGTCGGACTACAATTCAAACAGAGCATGTTACTTGTGTTCGGTGGAAGAAGGTTTTTCTACTTAAACTCTAGTCATTTCGTGTGGACCAAAATTTACAGAAGTCTCAGTCTTCACTTATTGTGAACATCCAATCATTATCATACTACTGGAGTGGTAGATCATCAAACAACTGGAATGGTAGATTATTGAGTAGTTCAGACCCTTGATAGGCTCAGTGTCTGAGCGACCAGATAAATGACTTGACTGCTAAATTTGTCTAGTGAAAAAAAATGTGGTGACATTATCTTAGGTAAAAAATCTGATCACGACTTCCTTCAGAACACGTGCACTGAAGTCCTACCGGAATAAAAGAGAAGCGGTAATGTTGAATATTGATTCTAGATGAAAGTATTGTGCCTTTGAAGCCTGACCTCTTTAGAAACTCTTCTTGAAATTTGTGTGGGACCTGTGATATTGATGTCGACAACAACAAATTCTACGGTGGAAAAAAATCACTCACCTTCATTTATTTGCGTAGTGACAAAAGTTTTGATGAGCGTGTCCGTAGTTTGTGTGTAGAGTGATAAGGCGTAACGCAAACTCTGGAGCTCGGGACTCTTGTCAAGGAAGGCTTTCTTCAGTCCATTTCCTCCGGCATGGAAATACTGCTTGATGGTGTCCAATGCTACGTCCAGTACGGCGCACTGCTTAGGAGAAAGGTTCTTTTCCACCTCCTTGGAAATATCCATGACCCCGCTCAAAGCGTTTTTCACGTCCTGTTTGCCGGTCATGTGGTTCTTGAATAGTTTGGACATATCTTCTATTTTAGTATTCGCTGCCAGGTTCTTGGCGTTGTCCGTTAAACTTTTGAACATCATCTGAAACGAACAGTGAATTGTGAAACTGATTTCTGAAGTTGAATATTTTTATTGCTGCCGATCAGGTAGTGAATCAGGGGAATTATTGATAGTCCGGACATTTTTCAACTCCCTATCACTGATTAACTACTGATTCAACTTGAGCTTGGGCTGAATAAAGTTGCAGGAATTTTTTAATAGAACTGGCCGATTTTTGATGAAAATCCACATTAAAACTAATTAATACACTTTATTGTATAATTTTCACTATAAAGGTTTTTACAAAAACCACTACACGTGTTTCGCTATACAATAGCTTTCTCAAGCGAAACACTGTATTTGTAAAACCCTCTGCAATGAAAATCATTCAATAAAGTGTATCAATAATTGTTTTTGCAGGAATTTACTAGAATGTAATTTTAAGTACACTGTGTACTTAATAAAGACTTTGTAGAACCTGTGTTTATAGTGAATAAGTATTAATGTTTCAACCAATCATATTGGCATTTTCAATGCCTCTTAATCATCTGTTTAGGGAAAATCCAAAAGAATTCAATAACAACCCTAACAAAACAATGTGCATTTCTTTACTATCCCCCCTTTTATTTTTTGCACGGATCAACTCAAAAAATTGAAATTAAGGATAATGAAATTAACGCATGAAGTGAAATTGACAGATGAAACTTTCAAGATGGCGACTGGGCGCCATCTGGGACAAAAATAAATGGAAACGGGGAGTCTTGAAGCTCCTGACGAATGCTTTACAACCATGGCGGAATTTTCAATATTTGTCTGAATACATTGACATTCAACTACATAATATGAGGTAATAAGCTTGAGGTCAGTTCAGAAGATGCTCGAAATGGTTGCCTTGAACTTCTTGACATATGAACAGCCTATCCGATAATTCACGTCGAACATCTTCGAACTCTACAAATATTTATTATTCTCTGCCCGTATATCCTATATTGAAGCGGATTCAGTTTCGAAGACCTTTTGCTTCAAATAGCCCCATAGAAAAAAGTCCAAAGGTGTCAGATCTGGCGATCGGGCTGTCCATTCTGTAGGACCTCGACGACCAATCCAACGACCGGGAAAAGTAGTATCCAAATAGTTTTTTACTCGTTCACAGTGATGTGGTGGTGATCCATCTTGTTGGAATACAATATAGAATATAGCATTCATTAGGTATCGCTGCGACGATTTCAGTGATGAGAGGACAACAGTAGTCTCCAGCATATTCAAATACAGTTCCCCTGTTTAATTTTGATCAATAAATAGAGGTCCAACAATATGGTTTCCCTATATTCCTGCCCAAACGTTAATTTTTTCTGGATATTGGGTATGTGCTTCCCGAAAAACGTGAGGTTTTTACTGCGTGGTTTTTAGTGGCCAGGTTTCAGATTTTCAATTCACTTTTTTTGTAAGTAGAAAAGGAGCGAAGGCAGGAGAATACCGGTAACTTGCAAAAAATGTGATATTTGTTATTTGATTTGATTGTTACGAATCAAGTTTCAATCGAAATTTAGGCTTATATTTCTTGACGTTTTTCACTCCACCAACAGAGGGTAAATTCAGTATACAGAATCAGGGCAATGAAACATTTTTTGTTTACTTGAATTCGTTAAGTTTCAAATCAATGATATGAGCTTATGTCAATTAACGTTCTATGAATTTCCCAACGATTATTGTTTGGCCATTCGAATCGTATTTCTGGATATTTTTCACACTACAACTATCACTAAAACTATTCAAGAAATGTTTTCATTAATATTTGTTTTTATTTCTCTTGAGAGTTTTTCATACTTTCATAATTTTTTCGTAAATTTGAAATTTAATTTCTTCATTTTAAAGATTTGGCATTACTGATTATTGCAAGAACAATAATGTTATACGCAATCCGCATGCTAGGAATTTGATTATTTTCATTATCAAAACAGTAAGATGAGAAATTTGGGAGATTGCTTTTTATGGATTAAAAAAATGAAAATTGGAACTCTCAACGAATTTTGAAACTTCTCTGCGTTTCAATAATCATCATATTATCATTTAAAAAATGAATGTCATTGTTTGCTTACCGTCTTATCAGTCATAGGAGGAAGAACAACGGTTTTTTCGAGTATCCTCATCACTATCTTCCACAGTTCCTTCAGCAGTCTCTTCAATACAGTTTTCTCGCAGGATTGCGCGTATAATGATAAAGAACCATCCAATAAATCCATTAACGGCCTGAGAACTTCATCCGCTTCTACTGCTACGGCATTCCTCTGAGCAGGTTGATTGAGTTGACCAGGCTGGCCACCTCCCTTGATTGCTACCAGAAGATCCGCGAGTTCTTTCACGCTGACTGTTATCCGATTTTCTAAACTGCAGGCGAAATGTTGGGCCAGTTCGTCAAGGCTTCCATTCAGTGTCTGTTGAAGTTCTTTTAGAATATTCGCAGCATCTTCTTCCAGCTTATCGCCTCCCATAGACTCGAACATTTTCTCTAGCTGAACCCTCAGTTGCTGAATGTTATTCATCAAAATACATGCCTGTGAAAGTAATGATTGGGTGATGAATTGAAACGAGCAGGGTGGCAAAACTTACTATCCTTTCTTCCTTGAGATGTTCGGGGAATTCTTTTTTGACTATGTCTGCATAAGCTATGAGGACTTTGACGATGGTTTTTGCGAACCTTTTCATGTAACGTTTCCATATTTCAGGATCAGGGCATTCTAGTTTAGAAACTACATCGAAACATTGCGTCAGCTGCGTGAAAACGTCAACGACAGAATTCGAGAACAGAGCGTGTTCGCTGCTCTTCTGAAACTGTAACAGAAGAGGTACATGATCGATCTCTCCATCAGAGGAAACAAAAATTTTGCTGAGTCTGATCCAAAATTTTAAATTTACTCTAGAATAGTTTCAAACCTTCCAGGTTATGTAATCAGATTATCTAAAAGAACAATTCGTTCAGCCCAGTCTTCCCTTACTTACGCAGTAGGTTCATGGACTAACACCTATCAGAAAACAGTTACTCTTCTGGCTGATAACACGAAAGGCGTTGGAAATATCCGACAGGTGTCAGTGCAGGATTCTTCACAGAAGAAATTCCTGCATATGCTTTTGGCGATACAACTGCCGAAATCGATTTTCAATCATTGGAGCGGGCTTACCTGCAGACCGATTTCGGGCTATTTGGCCTCTCGTTATTACAACACGAAGTCGATGATTTCCTACAATTAAAAATCGAATCCTTTCAGAGTATCATACATCGAACAAATCTGAAGCGAACGACAAGCAACACATTTGCCATCGCCCCCTCTGCTTGTAGGCGAGGTACTAACCAATCGCATATCCAAATGGCCCAAACCTCGTATAAAGAAATTATTTAAAGGAACGATTTGATCAGGCCTGTCTTCCCCTACCTACAAAGTGGGTGTATGAACTGACACCTATCAAACTACTCTCCAGGCTTATACCACGAAGGGCGTTGGATATTATCCGACGGGTAGGATCAGTATGCTTCCACTGCGGGGAAATTATATTTGGACTTTCGTCTGATCAGATGGTAGTGAGAAGTAAGTGAATTTTCAGATTAAAACAAAAGGCCTACGGCAGTCTTCAAATATAAAAGCGAGCTTGGTTGCCAATTACTGAATTGGACGAAGTACGATGAAACCATGCTAGTTGTCGAAATGACTAAATTACTGTAATAAATTTCTCAAATGATGATTTTAATGAAAATGGCTACTTCGTAGTCCAAGGAATATTCAATTATGAGGTACAAGGCCAGGAAATTGTATGCTAAATATAGCTCTTTATGAATTTAAGTGAGCTAGACTTTTTAAAGTGATTGCATACAGAAAATCTTTTTTGGAAACATACATGTACTACAAAATTATTGGCAAAAGTGTAGTCATGGTAGTTTTCATTGACGACTATATTACAACGATTGCAAATACAAAGATTTTGAAAAAGCTAAGAGAAAGAGAAAACGGAATGAGTATGAGTGAAGAAAGCTCTGCCAGAAATGTTCTTGAGAAATTCAATTTGACTGATTGTAAACCAGCCCAAATTTATATGGATGCTAAAAAAATGATTCGTCCGGAAGTTAATCAAAAATAATTGAAATGATTTCAATATGGGTTTTCTACCTTGGTAATTTCAATAAAACTAGATAGTTTATAGGTACCTAGCACCTAGAACTTCAATCCAATACAGGTATCTGCAGAAGAACCTAGGTACTAGGAAGGTACTCTAAATAAGTGCTTGGTTTTCTCAAGAATAATGATGAAGTAGCAGAATTATTTGATTCTGACTGGGCAACTAGTTAATCTGATTGTATAGATATGAAGAACAGACGATTGAATACGGTGGAGTAGTTATCAAGAAAGCAGTAAACTGCAGCGATGTTTAGCTCTGAAACGGAGTATATGAGACTTACTGAAGCTGCTAAAGAAGCTACCTATAATCACTTGTTGATCAAAACACGTGTCGAAGTGTTAAAAATAACGGTTTGGTGTTGGGAAAAAACTCCAGTAATAGTCATTACTACACCAAAGGTTTGAGATAGTTAGCATCACAAGCTACCTATCTCAAAACAAGCTGAAATGAAACGATTGTTAACTACAAAGACTCAACATTTCGAGATATAGCACCACTTTGTACAAGATAAAAGGAAAAGTCGTCAAGTTTCAATATTTGATAGCGGACATTACAACGAAGGGATCTAGAGCTTCAAAGAATTCAACTTGAAGGCTACGTATCGGGAAAATATATCGAACCTTCAAGCTAGGATTTTCTCATTCCATTCGTTTCATATGTATTATATTTCATCCGCTGTTATGGAATCACTTATATCAAATGAAGTTGATTATCTGTGGAATGAAACTTTTTTTTGATCCTGAGTCAAATATTGATTTGCAGTATAACTGTTTCATCGCGTTATAACACTTACACCATCCTTTTTATCTCTATTGAAGGCACCATGTAAATACTCTAAGGAGACGTCATCGTTTTCGTTCAACCATTGCATTACGAAGGGTTCGAACCACGCTGGATATTCTGGAACTGCTCCCTTATGAGGAGGTACGTCTTTGACGTAATTGGAGTANGGGATATGAAAGTCGGAATATTTTTACCATCAACTCTGGTATTCCCCAGGGAGCCATATTATCTCCATCCCTCGAATTGGGATGAAAGAAACCAGACTCAATTGAATGGCCACAAAAACCGGATATAATAATGTTAGGGCAGACAATTCCGCTTTCTGCTTCAATAAGTTTGTTTGGGGTTAAATGGACGCTAATATGTTCTGGCAAAATCATGTTGCTTGAACTGCAAAGGTTGTTTCTCAAAAGCTTGGAGCATTGTTTCGAACCAAAAAACTGTACAAACCCCAGCAACTTTTGATTCCTAATGAAGCTCAGCTCAGACCCTTCTTGGAGTATATTTCACATGTATAGACCTCTGTCCCTAAGCATACCCTGAAGCTGTTGGATTCCATCCAGGAAAAAAGACATTCCCCTGATTGGAGACACTAACATCACTTGCAACCTTAATAGTCTAGAACATCGAAGAAATGTTTGGAGATTTATCTCTTCTTCATAGATACTTTCACGAGAGGTGTTTCCGTAACTTGGCACATTTGTAGTGCTCGTGTATTGTTTTCGAAACATAGGAATGCATAAAGTACAAGTTTGTACGTCAAATTAACTAAAAATATGTCCGTTGGAATCGATTAATTTCGTTCAATACATTTTCTATTATTACAACAATACAAAGAATTTGTCGGAAATAAAAATGTGAGGAATCAATAATGTAAAGAATTTAGAAGGAAAGAAACAGACGTCACTTCTACACTGTTTCCAATTAATACATATGTATAAAGCCGTGTCTGTCTGTCTGAACTCATAACTACGGAACGGATTTTCGTACAGTTTTTACCAATGACGGAAGAGGAAGAGAAGGTTTATGTGTATAATTCAAGAATGATTTGTGTGAAGTGTTTGAAATATGACGTGAGAAATCATAGCGATGGCTCATCGAGATATGAAAAAACAAATGACTACATTATATTATTTTTTAAAGGTCTTCAAACAAGTCCGCGATGTCATATGTCTATCTTTTGAGGATAGCT